TGTGGAGCCCTTAAGGACCTCCGCCAGTATCAAGAAGGATTTTCCAAAAGACTTTGTCCGATTAAGGGGTCATTTCCTTCTCTCCATGGAAACGAGGAACAGAGCAGCGCTGTAAGCTCCAAACAACACTAAAACAAGAGCAAAGTTTATTTTAGACAAAATTTTTGTGTTGTTAATGACGTCCAGGCCACTGGTCTGATAGTAGCATTCAGCTTCTGTTAGCGCTGTGTGCTAGCTTTTAGCTGCATCGTTGCAGATTTAACTTTACTGCATGTTTTAAATGGAATTATCTGATTTTTGTTTTTGCAACTTCTGTTACAATAACAAGAAATTCAGATGGAAACATTTCAGTTCTATGTTACGTAGGCCATAACATAAGTGAATGATTTGCCTGTGAAAGGGGAAGATTTAATAGCGTGTTATGTCCACTTTAATGGAACGCTGTGCAACTTTTAGCGTCTTTCAGCCCTAACCTGCGCCGGTTAACTTGAAAAGATTAAAACACTTTTTCTATTTTAGATAGAAACAGTCGTATTAGGTTTCTCTTGTAACTCCTGGTTTTAAATAATTCCTACATTCAAGTCCATCCAGGATTTGTACAGTTCCAGAGTCAGCAGAGGGGCAGCCAACATTTCTGCAGACCCCACACATCCTGGACACATTTAACACAACGCTCATTGCCAAAACCAGCCGCAACAGAGACACTCTCTTATTTTTCTTATTTCCGTCTAATGAGGGAGGGGGAATAATTTTGCATTTGCCCTTTCCAGACATTTATATTTTAAATGTCTTTATCATGAGCAAAGTGGAACCACAAAGAAATTCCTTATTTTGTGTGCGCAAACCTGGTGAGTAATGCTGATTCTGATTTATGTGCAACTTAGACTCACCCAATAACTCTAAACTTGCTTGTCTTCAGAAAAAACCCCAAAAGGCAACAAGAGAGCAAAAGGTAGTACTCATCCTGAGCCAAACACTGAACCCAGAGCCTTCAAGATGCTAATAGTTGCACCATTATTCTGCTTTTTAGGCTTTTAACTTCTTCTTCTTTTTTTTTTATCGAAAGGCAATTACACTTGAGAGCATCAAAAGAATGTGCTGAAAGAATACCAAAATTAGAAGAAAAAAAGAAAAGATAAAAATCTGAGAAGTGCAGGTTACAAATAGCTTGAGTACTTTGAGAGTGGAGAGGCGCTTTCTGCTTTTTCGTTCAGTGGGGTCACAGAGGATCTGCTGGCTGGTCATCTGGCTGACGTCCTGCGAAGACTCTTCCATCATATGACGTCGTGTCTGCCTTCGTTCCCTGTGCTCTGTTGGGGAGAGGATTTGAAAGTTCACTTATTAAATTTCTTTGAATAACTTCAGTCCCACAAAAAAAAAAAAAAAAAAAATTCCCACAATGATTAGTTCAAGGAAACAGAAAGATAACAAAAAAAAGTATAAATTTATAAAGTCTGGAACAATATGGTTATGTGTCTCTGTTGCATAAATTAATAACCAGTGCAGACCTATGAGACATAGACACTGTTTTCACCTTTAGAGGAAACAGCAGCCATCACTTGTTCACAATCAGTATTTTATATTTGGATTTAAGCATTTTGGACTTGGTTTCTCCGCAACCGGAGACACTTGAGTTGCAAGGCGGGTGTATGTACAGCGGCCATGCAAAACATTACGACCACTAACAAATGAAGCAAACTTAAATTCAAGGGAACTGAGTGAGAGCATTTCCAGAACTGCATCTGTCTTGAGCTGTTCAAAATGTTGCCTTTGTGTGACTTATAGGAAAATCAATAGCAAGTAAAAACTTGTGACAGTTCTGCTTCACAAAATATTACTGCAGTTGAGTTTGTCGTTTTACTCTGGAAGAACAGACAGCTTGATTAAATGATTAAAACAAACAAAAATAAAAGCCCATTGATGAGACATTCATCTGCAGTCGGTACCTGTGTCGACTTCCCTTCTCGGTCGTCTCAGGTGAGTTTGCGTCAGCTGATGCTCGACTCAGTCCACTTCAGGAAGAAAGAGCTGCTGACAACCCTGCAATCATTTGTCAGGTAGACTGACTGTAATGATGGATCTGACAGAAAATCTATATCTTTAGTCACTTCATGACCCCATTAGGAGCCCCCAAAGGGCAACATGCCTTTCATAAATTATTCATCTGTGACCACAAGTCTTGGTTTTCTTTGTCATATATATATAGAAAACAAATAAAATAATACCTGGAGCATCTTTAGCACTGGAGGCTCTCCTTCCTTCTTCTGCGTTTTCTTCTTCCTCGTTAAGCACCCATGAATCTCTTCTTCGACTGAATGGAGACAGCTCTGCTCTCCCCTCTAGCTCCTATTCTCTTGGCTCAGACTAGCGCTGTTACTTGGGTCCAGCAAAACAAAAGCTCCGACACATTTTTATTCCATACACATGCCAACCAGTCCAGGAGGAGGACAGCAAAGAGGGCAGAGAAGGATGTGGTGCTCAGGCGTGAGAGGGTGGCGGAGGGGGGTGGTCATAGATTAGAGGTTTTGGACAATTCTCTGGATTTTTAATGAGGTAAAAAATGTCCTCGCTGCTATCACAAAGAATTGGAAGTACTTTTGTTTCTTTTCTACGATGCCTGGCCAGATAAAGAAAGGAGCGAAAACATGCCAAACTCGGGGGCCGACACTGAGTTGACGGAGACCCCGAAGGTGGAACAGTGCACCTCTGTAAATGAATGTGTCTGGAATGCTGTGTGAGTCCGGTACGACTTGTATGGTCACACACAGCTTTGTTCTCATGGACGCCGAGGATTACTGAGCATAAGCCTGGAATTCCTGCGCACAAACTGTACACGAAGTAGTTTCACTTTGTGCCGTAAGCTTGCCATCTCTGACCTGACCAGAAAGTGTATCCAACACTGTACTGACTCACTCTGGAATACATTCTAAATTAGAGTCGAAATGTTTTTGCCTGTTGCAGACTTATCATCTGAAGATAAGATGTGCTTTCATGTGGCCTTGCAAGAGTATTAATATCCCTTGAACATTTTGTCTGCTTCAAAACACAAACTTCAACGTACTGGACTGAGTTTATCCTCCCTTAATGAATGCTCAGCAGAACCAGCTTTAGCTTCAAATACAGGTTTAGGTGTTTACGAGCAAATCTCTACCAAGCGAGCTGAAGGTATTTCTCACCTCAACGTTTGTCACTTTTTACCAGAAATACCCCATAGCATTATGCTGGCGCCACCATGTTTCACTGCAAGGGTGGTGTGTTCAGAAAGAAGTACCATGTCAATTTTATATTATTATGCTATTGTATCTGGGTAAAATTGTTGGTTTGTGGTCTTATCTGACCACAGTACCTTCTGCATCTTTGCTGTCCTGGTGTGAAAAACAGCATACAAAGTTTCTCTCAGAAATAGCTTTATTCTTGCAATTCCAATATTAAACATTGTACCCGTTTACACCGAGCTGCTCTTCAAATGAACTGCAACATATTTTCAGCCGGTCGTTTGCACGATGCCAGTGACTTTCTGAAGTATCAGAGTAAAACTTCTCTAAAACCCCCCAGAGGAGAAGTACTCTGCTAAAGCGGACGTGCAGATAACAACAGGAACAATGGCGGACGTCACGGTGTTGTTTTGTGTTACTCAACCTGTTCTGTTTAACACAACTTCTAATAAGATATATATTTATTTGAGCACTTTCTTCTTGGGAGACTGAGGTAGCAGGTATGAGGTAGAAGCTAGCGAGGTGGAAGCTAAGACATGCTACATTCCTGGCACCATCTAGTGACCTGCTATTACAACCACAGCTGAGTCAAAGTGTCTTGAACCCATTTTGTGATGGTACAAAATTAGCCCCAAGCACAGGTGGTTGACCTAAATTCTGCTTTTATTGCTACAAACTATTTTCTTCTTTGCTATTTCTTTAATGGACACTTTAAAAATATTTGTTTTTATAAGGCAAACGGGTTAAACCCTCCTTAGGATTTTGCCCTTACACATCTCTCTAACAAGCATCTGCACTAGATTTTATTTAGGAGTATCAGAGTGAATGAGACAAGCGACAATTATCAAATGTTTATTTGTTAAAATGTGTGGCATTGTTTTCCTTCCATAATTATATGCTATTTTGTGTCAGTCACTCACAAAGAATAATAAAGAAACGTGACAAACTGTGAGACGTTTCCAGTGGGATTAATTAGTTACTGTTTTCAGTTTGGACAGACTTACTTAAAACCACAGTAGAAGATTTTTCTGCATGTGTAGAGCACCACCTGCTGGTAGCATTTTAATTTAGGTGAAAATAAATGCATTCAGCCTCAACATTCCTGTACTTTTTTGATGTGTTTCAGGATAGAACATCCAATCGTTGTTCATCCTGAAATCTCAGTTTCCAAGTGTCACCGGGAGAAACATGCTCAAGTTCAAACTCTGCTTCTGGTCCAATGAAAGCAAGAGGAGGGCTATTTGGAAAGGACAAACTAAACATAGAGAAGGTCAAGGTTGATTACCGCGGGTAGAGCAAGAACAGAAAAGAGGAATGGAGCTGCAGTTGACAACTGTACTCAGAAAATTATGCATTACCTGGAAATGGCCTTTGCCCTTTTGGTAAAAACTGGGAAATCAGGGCAAAAAGCCTGGAAAACAGATGTGTGAAAGGTGAGAGGAGATTCCAGGACCCAGAGGCCGGTTGGGTTGCAACACTGTTTACTTTCTTTTCTTTTTTTAGACATCAGCTTGAAGCAGACCAACCTAATTGTTAAAGCCTGATGCAAAACTGCCCTCTAAAACTCAGTCCATTGAAAAATTTCTCATAAGCTGCTTTTAAATTGTTCGGGTAGCCCTGACAGATTTAGATGTAAAATTATTTTCATTCAACCAAGAATTTTGATTCAGTGAGTGTGAACTTTTGTATTTTTCACAAGACAGGAGATGTTTAAAAAATTGCTCATTTATATAGTAAAAATAGTCTTAGAAGTCAATATCTTAACTATAATAAATTAAGACCAACTAATGAACTTATTGCCTTTAATGTATATTCAACTGTACAAAGAGAGTGGAAGAACAGAAACTTAAGCAACATATATGGCATATTAAAATAAAAAAGCATCTAACTTTCTTTGTAAATCCAAATTATTAACAGCGATAATTAAGTCAGTGCTTTATGACTGGATGTTACAGCTGCAAAGAATAAGAAAGTAAATTACAAAAACAAGTTTAGTTCTGAGTCCAATGGCTTCACAATTCAAGCAGTGGCTTGCTTTACGACACTAATATTTCAGAAGACATTGTCACTGCAGCTTGTTGCAAATTAAAATAAAATTATTTAACAAAAACAAAACCGTAATGTATTACATAACAATTACGTTGACACACAATGCATTGTTGGGACACATTTCAGGATTTTCTTTCACTCTAAAATAAAACAATGATTAACTGCTTATCAGTGGTATAAGTTTGTAAAAGTGAGTTTAAACACCAGAAGCAAGACTGATAGCCTCCAGTATTTAAAAACAAACAAAAAAAACTGAACTCAATGAAAAGTGAGTTGAGTTTCAAATCAAGCTACTTTGACTGTTTGGAAAAGCTCACATATTTTTCAATGTAAGATCGTTGCTCTAATTGTGACTTCTATATCTAAAAAAAACTGTACCTTACCACATTTGATCCAGTTTGGGATCCATCTACCTTACCACATTTGATGCAGCCTTCTTGTAATATGTTAAATCGAACTCTCCTTGTTTTCCTCTTCTTTGTTCGTAGAAATGCTGATGTTTGCGGGTCCATTGTTCTGTGTGTTACCCTCCAATCCCTTGTCTTTGGCCTGGTTCCTCAGAGCTAGCTTCTTCTGTCTCTTGACGATTTTAACATAGAGAATTCCCCACAACACATTGGTCAGGAAGTACAGTCCAGTTACCAAGCCTAAGAAAGTCATTCTGAAAGTAAAGCATGTTACAGAAACATCAATTACACATGTGCCGGATTTTATTTGCCGTGATTTGTGACGTGGCTTGCAAGGCCAGGATCTGTTCTCACCTGAACGCGTTGGAATGATAAAGTCTACATGCTCCGCGTCCTCCACATTGCTTCGTTCCCCATTTCAAACAAGTTCGATCGATCAGTGCTCCAAAATATATCGGGGGAGGGATCCCACCTGGGAAGTCACATCAAACGTCGTCAAGGTCGTTACTAAGAATTGGTGCTTGTTGCAGGTCCAGCACTCACCCAGAGTTCTCACAATCAGGGTCTGCATCCCCAAGGCCAAAGACTTCAGATCTGGCTGGATGGATCTAATTCAGTGAAGCGCAATAGAACATTATGTCAGAGTTTAAAAGCGTGAAATTTAAGAAAGGGAGGTTTGTTTCTTGTGGGCATGTAAGGATGAAAGAAGTGAACATAGCCAAAGTTAGACAAACCTATTTACATTTATTTTATAATTGCCTTGACTTAAGTTTTATTGCTGTCACTAATATTATCAGTTCAATGCTTAATGCACTGATATGGCATTGGTATCATGCCCAACTGCCTAAGTTGCCTGTGTTCAGTAACTTTCAGATATCTTTCTGCTTCAGCACACCTGGCTCTAATATTGGCTCATTAGATAAGCTAATATTGCATACCAGCAAAGCAGTTTCACTGGTTAATTCAAGTGTGTAGGTCAAGGGATGCATCTAAAACTTGAATAACTCTGGCCCTTGTGGAATTGATTGAAACTTACCTGAGTAACACAATATATCCCGGTGTGGCCCCACAAGCAGAAATGAATGCTCCCACCACCGTCAAAGCCATGTAGATTTTAAATTTATAATCACAATCGCTCTTCCTCGGACACTGGCCCAGCACAGCAGACATGTTCGCAGCAGGAGTCATGAAGTCCCCAACACAGGTACAGTTATGAAACTCCTGAAGAACAAAAACACAAGGATCTAATGTAGAGCGACTTGTACCTTCGGCTGAATACAGCTGATACAGATTTTGGAAATCTGCTCCTTTCACTCTTCAGAGTGAAATCTGTAACTCTGTGTTGTCTATGTGGATGGATTTTGTGTTGGTGGAAAAAAAGCTCACCATTGCTTTTCCTGTCCCAGTGGAGGTCTGGCAGCCAGCCAGGCAGGGAGAGGCGTACGTCATGCCGTTATAGGCGCATACTGGATCCCAGTGCTTCATGGAGCAGGAACAGCCCATGTTGCACGGCGACAAAAGTGTGGAATAATTGTAGGATACTTGTTGATAACTGGACCAAAGCAGACATGTGCTGTTTGTCAGAATATTATTCATTCAATAAAGTCAAAAGATTTTATCAAAAAAAAAAAAAAAAACTCACCCTTGATAGGCAACAGTCAAACCAGCCACCTCTGCATTGTCACAGTGGAAGAAGCCCTGCAGGGCAAGCAAAGAAAAGGATCCAAGAGATGCAGTGATGGCCACTCTGGCCGCTCCAACAACACCCAGGTTGAAACGTTTCAGCACAAAACCACCGGTGATCATGCCCAGAGCGACTGCGGGCAGGTTCATGATGCCTTAGTGGTGAAATGTAGAGATGGTTTATAGGACAGAAAGGATTATTTCTTACACTTTCAAGATGGAAAACAAAGGTTTGACAATGTTGGATAACCACCCAGTCATCAAATGCTAAATAAAGCATCTAGATTTTCTAAACACTTGCACAAAGGGAGATCTCACAGTGGGTCATTAAGTGCTCACATTCTTGAGTCGATGTTATCACACACAATCACACTTCCCTTTCACAACATCATTGTTCCAATTGCAGGAAAGTTAAGAGTGAGTGGGGGTGGGGTGAGCGGTGTACCTATGAGAAAAATGGCTTTAGATGCTGCCTGACCGTAGATCTGCTCCATGAATTTAGGTTTAAAAGTGATCATGCCAATGAAACCGTTGACTGCAACCAGGTGGGTGAGAATCATCATCGTGTAGATGCTGTTCCTAAAGAGTCTCTTCAGTGAAGGAACAAAATCTGACAAAGAACAAAGCATTAAATAAGATTACTCTCAGCTCTGAGTGTTTTTTGGGCACACAACCAAAACACGGAGCTACCTTTAGCCATTTCCTTAAATGTGATGGGCTTCTCTTTGTCAACAGCATCTTCGGTTTCATCTGGTAGAAAACTCTCCTGTTCTGGCCCAGAAGATAGCTCTGTAATTTTGTTGCCATCTTCTGCCTCTTCCCCTTGTTTCGGCAAAGACTTGGGCAGGAAAAAGAAGGGGATGCTCGCCAGCAGAATCACTGCACCAGTAAAGATGAATCCCAGCCACCAGGCTCCCACCCAGCGAGAGTCCTTGTAGGTGATGGTGATGCTATCTGGGTTAAAGGAAGAACGATGATTGTTGGGTTAGGACATTTGTTTTCATGTTGTACTGCTTTTTGTCTGATGAATTTCTGAATTCCCAGAGAAAATCTGAATAACTGGAGCAATCCCATGCATGTAAAGGAACCTACAAAAATCTAGTCTTGATATCCAAAGTGGTTGCCATTTTAAAAAAATCGTATTAACAGGATATGAATTAGTTGTTCTCCATTGAAACATTTAGGTACTGAATGATGATATACCAGTAAACATGCAGCTATAGTTTGGATTACAGGATATATGTGGATCCTATATCCTATAGAATTACTCAAAGGAATGTTTTGGCTGATGGCAAGCCAGTTTCTCCTTTATTCTCAGAATGAGATGTCCCATACCTAAATCGACAAATCCAATGTCCACGTAGGTCTTGGCAAGGAAGGACCCCAGCATGAACCCAAACATAGGACCTAATATACCCGTTGTATGAATGCAGGCTAGCAAAGAAGTAAAAGGGGAGAGAAATAGAAGTGAAATATCAGTCCAGTATAGAAATTCTTAAATAAATTGATCAAAAATAAAGGTGGGCTAGTAAGAAGCTGAGAGTTGGCTATGAAGATGTATGATATAAGGGAAAACTAAAACATATCCCGATCCTATGCACAGTGCTGAGCCAAAGCATGCTGTAACTAATAACAACAAACCCAAATAGAAAGGAGTGTTCTCGTGTTTGGAAAAGTCATCCAGATAGGATATTCCCAAAGGCATGATGGGAGTCTCTCCAATTCCACGCAGCATGTTTCCCAGGAAAACGTAGATCCACATGGAAGAGCCAACTCCCTTTTCACAAGCTGGGAAGAAGACGACCAGCAATTAAACACTTTCTGGCAGATTTAAGATCAACGCTAAAGTGCATGGAGGTGAATTTCGAAACAAAATAGCAGCTACCTTCCCTTTTTTCATCTGAGATTTCACCCTTCTCATCCAGGCTGTGGTTGGACAAACATGGCAGGATGCTTTCAGTGCTGTTGACCTGAGTGTTGTGTGACATACTGGTCTCATATTTATACCTAGAAAAAATAAGAATAATGTAATCTGTACAATATTTGAAAATATATGAATACTCCCTTTCTGTTTTGTTGTAATATATAATTTAAACACCTGCTCTACTGACGAGTTGTTAGAGAGTTGGGGTCTAAATGTTAAGGTTGTCAAAGTCAAGCTGGCGTAACTGACCTATTTTCCTCTGCCTTGTTTTTTTTTTAATTTTTTTAATTAAAATATATTACTGAGCTTGTTACCTTATTGTGTAGCGTTGACTATTAGCAGCAAAGCACTGCATCACTTTCCCTTTCATATATATTTAATATTTAGCATGTCATATTAATGTTACTTGTCAGCTAAAACCATTAATAGTCAGCAAGCAATGTTTTTTGTGTGCATGTGACGTGATGGTGCAACGTGTCTGTATGCAACTTATGTCACCAGTGCTTTATTACTGGTTAAAATATAATACAGTTCCTTGACAAGCTATTTGTGAAATATACAGATTTTGTTTTTGTTGAAAAAATTGAATAGGTTTCATACTAACGGGCCCTGCAGGAAATGCGGCAACGCAACAATGAACGATCCGGCGGCCATGACCAAGCAGCCGATACCAATCAGCCTGGGACGATGGAGCTTTGCACCGAAGTAGCTCACAAAGGCGATGACCAGCAAGTTTCCTATGAAGGAAAATAAATGCTGAAAGCCATTAATTAAAGGAGTTGCTCCAAGTATTTCCGAATCCGGAACATCTTAACTTCACGAACCCATTTCAAAGCTGCCATCTATGACCCCAATCAGAGAGCTGGGGATGTCGAAGCGTCTCTCAATCTGGGTGACGGAGCTCTTCATGTAGGACCCGCCAAAAGCTTTGGCAAAGTACACAAATGCCAAAGAGACAAGGAATAGCTGCAAAATAATATAAAAAGTTTTTAAGCTAAGTTGCCTTTAAACACACCGGACAATCTCAGACAATGCGCAACAATAACTTCATATGTCTAAAAAACTGCAGACTAAAAATCAAAATTTTTAGAGTTACTTTCAAAACATTATAGATAAACATTTTGATGTGTAACGTCACTTTGGCTGAAATGTGCCATACAAATAAACTTTGATCGAGTGATTGAACGTACGAGGACAAATCTCAATAGGTCTGACACATCTTCAAAGAACCCAAGCAACTCTTTTCAGTACCAATAAAACATACTGTTGGTGTACAAAGAGTTTTTCTTTATGTGACTGAAGGGGTGAGTGTATTTCACTTGAAAATACCAAGAACACCAGCAGTGTTTGTACTAGACCAGTCTAATATACAGAAACATTCCCGATTGCCTTGACTTAACCCCAAACCGAATGTGCAGATTTATCCGATAGCCATTTGATGATGTAACAGGAGGAGATGATTTGTTTACAAAACTATCTCGTTGGGTATTTTCTTTATTAGCTCAGACCATGGCACCAGTTTGCTTTAGTCCTGGCACCAAGAATAATTTATGAAGATTTAAATAAAAAATAATTTGAGATGCTTATCCAGTAAAAGTTGGGCAACCAAAACAAATAGGTTTTCCAAAAGGAACTCAAATCCTTTTCCTTTGGAAAATAATGTCCAACATTATTTTGTATCACTACTAACGATGCAATATATTGTGTACATGCATGTCATGTACTCGATAAATTCTGATAACATTTTGGTAAATACTGCTACTAATTACTCTTGTTTGGTACAAATGAAAATCACCGGGAGAGTACAGTAAAAATCAGCCCCTTGTTTCTTACAGAAATAATCATTCATATGCATTTTATTAATAACCACCGAATAGATGTGATGCATTATTAAATTTCAGGTAAAGCATTCTTTCGAAGGCCTTGGTTTTAGCGAAGGGTTGACCTTTTTGCTACTTTAAAGCCCAACATGTGGTAATACAGGCAAAAGGTAGGACTTCACTGACCTTGAGCTTAGAACAACAGGCCTCACGTGTTTTTTTGGATTCCACGCTCATGATGCTGTATCTTGTTCAACTGGATAGAGAAAAGGAGGAACAAAACAATCCCAATATTCCTGCAACGTTAGAAGTACAAAATGTCAGCTGCAAGCAAGCTTTTACTAATTTGATTATTTTTGTTTAACAGACATAAAACTGTCTTATTTCCTCACTCTGTAGGCATTAAAGTAAATGTTGAAACTGTTTTTTTTTTTGTAGGACAAAAACACCTTAATAGATTTAACTTGTCTTTCTCCCAAAGCCACTGACATTATCTTAACAATTTGTCTTTTCAAACTTTTATGTTTTTGATTATCATTGCAACTTGTTCTACACATCTTAACAAAGAGACAGAAGGGGGGAAAAAAAGCTGAAAAGAGACAAAACTGTTGGATTATTTACCTGAAGTGGTGGGATCCCAGGATTGTCCTGACTGGCAGGAATCAGTGCTTGAAGCCCAAGTCTTATCTCCAAATTATAAAATCACATGTAATGAGTAACTCGGTCACTCATGTTGGTCTTGTTGATTATGTCAACAAAAAGCCATCCAGCCCTCATGTAATTGTGACATGAGTCCCGGACTCAAACAGAACCGGACGACTGAGCGGCTCGTCCAATCCGAGCAGCAGGCGAAGGGTTCAGAGGTTCTCCGAGGACAAAGACAAGCGGACAGTCCCAGTTGTGCACGTCCTTCTTGGTGAGACATCACAGGCCTCCCAAGTAGCCATCCCTTTGAATGCACAACAAACAGAGAGCAGCAGGGTTGGCCAGGGTTTTATTGTGTGTTTGTGGGTTTTGGAGAGGAAGGCCGGACAGTAGCGATGCGAGCTTAAGAATGGCTTTGAGGTAAACAGGATTGAAATAATGGCAAATGTTTGTTACCTGAAAAACAAAAGGTATTTACTTTACCGCCACACTGTAGTATAGCTGCAGTGTGTAACTATTATAAAAATGTATTCATATGTTTTTGTTACATATTTGTTAAAACTGTTACCATGTTGTGACAAATAATCAGCGCTGACTGGAAACAACCAATAAAAGCCTGAAGCAGGGTCTTAGCACTGGCCTAGCCTTGCTTGTCATGAATGTTTAAGCAAGTCAGTATAGCCGACGATGGCAGCAGATAAACAGTTTTCCTGGAACTGTGGGCTGTTTTTCCACCATTAGTATATTGTGCTGCACTTACACAAGATTGAATGACAGCACTAAGACCCTCCCCTTGGCTCTGATTGGTTGGTTCTGATTGGGTGTGCTGCATTCCACAATTGTGGAGGAAGAAACTAATTTCTCGTTTTTCACAGGATAAGACAAAACTATTATTTTCATTGTACATATTTGATATGCACCACTTAGCCCCTGCTAACTCTATCCAACCATATATGGCAAAAATTAGCCCCAGCTGGTGAAAAACTGAACTCACCATTTCTCTTTAAAACATTAATATAACATTTATTTCATGTAGCGGTGGTAGTGCATTTACATCCAGTTGTACAATCAACAAAATTACAACAGAAAACAATACATAGCCTAGTATATACATTAAACATTTTAACCTTGGTTTGATAGTCTACTTTAGTGGATATTACATTTAACAGCTAAAACACAATACAATCAATATAAACTCGAAAGCAAACCCACAAGCTTGGAGTCTACTGTTTAAGTCATACTTAACAACACTGATGCTTATACCAATGACAGTTTGACTAAACAAAAAAAATAAGGTTACGTAACAAAAAAAGTGTAATATTATGCTTACAAAGCTTTTAAAACTCATTAAAAATGGGTGTCAGACATAATAAAATGGGAGCACAGCTGATAATTAATGACAAAACATAAAATATATAGAAACTGAGCAATAAAAGCCTTTAAAAGTTATAATGACATGACAAATGTACATTTCCAGAAGATAGGGTTTCAGTGACAAGCTGAGACCTTTAGTACAACTACAAAAATAAACCATAGGACTTGTTGTGCCATGTGTGATATTTCACATATCTTTTGGGATTTTGCTCCATTTTGAAGAACATACTAATCAGTCCTTTAAATCAAGTTATTGCAACAATGACTGCACTTACACCTTTTTGCTAAAATGTTTTAACTTAGCTAAGTTAGCCAAGTTAAGTTTGTAAACCCACAGAAAGCAACATGTAGTTAAATGTTAAGTATTCGCAGATTTAAGCTATTCTGTGGTCCCCAACACCCTTGCATACCGGGTGTTGACTGTATAAACTGACCTAAAACAATCCAAGTGTCAATGCTGCACACAAGCTAAAGACAAAATAGACAGGATGTCATATTTTTATTCTTTTTAATTGCTTTACTTGATGTCTATATGTCTTTATGAAGAGTAATCACATAAAAAAGAGGAGGAGGAGGAGGAAGCAAAGGATGGAAGGTGCTAACCACCCAGACAGTGCTAACACTGTACCATTAGCATGTTCAGGACTGAACACAAGGGCTCATCTTCATTCTGCATCAACCTGGCCTTCTCGCATCATGTTAAATAGTGCTCTCCATGTTTGCGTCTTCTTTGTATTTAACAATGCTGATGCTAGCATGTCCATTGCTAAGTCTGTTAGCCTCCACTCCATTCTGTTTGGCCTGATTCCTCAGCTCCAGCTTCTTCTGTCTCTTAGCTATTTTGAAGTACAGGACTCCCCACAACATATTGGCCAGGATGTAGAGTCCAATAATCAATCCCAGGAAAGTCAACCTGAAAGGAAAGCGTGTTGGAAAAATGAAGTTATATGTTGTTTAGCATTTTGATAGTTGAGGTATGTTTTTTTTATTTTTATTTTCCCTGTACCTGAACGCGTTGGAATCATAAAGTCTGCATGCTCCACGTCCTCCACATTGCTTGTTGCCCCACTTCAAACATGTCCGATCAATCAGTGCTCCAAAATATATCGGGGGAGGGATCCCACCTGGTAGAACAAGGTCGCATAGGCCGACAGGTTGAGAAAAACGGACAAAAATATAATAGATGGAAAAAGTAGTTGGGTTTGGTTGCTCACCTAGAGTTCTTACGATCAGCGTTTGCATGCCTAGTGCCAAAGACTTTAGGTCTGGCTGGATGGACCTAAATTAAAGAAAATGAGAAATTGAAGTTTTTCTGAAAAACATCAAAGAATGAAATGTGACAATTACGCATGTTGCCATAAGAAGACAAAATCAAGCATGCTTTACATTGGCCAAGATGTAATTATGAAAGACAAAATGCAAAGCTTCCAAAATGTGTAATGTTTCTACCTTACCTCAGCAGTACAATATATCCCGGCGTGCCTCCACAGGCAGAAATAAAGGCTCCCAGAACTGACAAAGCCATGTAAATTTTAAATTTGTTGTCACATTCAGTCCTTCTGGGACACTGGCCCAGCACGGCGGACATGTTTGCAGCAGGAGTCGTGGAGGTATCAATACACGTACAGTTGTGTAACACCTTTAAAAAAACAACAAGACAATGATCTGAATTAGATTTTTCTTGATTTTATATACTAACGTTCCATATTCTGTGTAACTTGGTGAGACTGGCAGTACCATGCCACACCGATAGAGGGCAGTGCTAAGACTGAGAGGCACAATGGGCAACAGGTGCTCCTAATATATGAATTGAAAAAAAATCTGAAAACAATTTTAAAAAACCAAACATATTAGTTACATATTAGTTATTAAAGCAACTAGACTTAGAAATGAAAGCAAACGAGATCAGACACTATTTTCAGTTTTAACTAAAATGGTAAATAATAAAAACAATCAAATCTTGTGTTCCTTTCAAAATGTAGGTGATTTTGAAACACCTACATTTTGTTTTAGCTCAAATCTAAATTAAAATCTAGCCTTCTATTGGGGCTTGCCAAGTTCCCCCCTTCCTTATTTCAATATACTTTTTTTTTTGTTTTTTCTCTTGGAAAACAAAAGAAAATACAAAGAAAACAAAACAATCTTTAAAAAAAAAACAAGGAAAGCAGAAAACAGGAAGGAAGAAAATGCAAAGAAAGATTAAAAATCAAATTATAATCAAAAAACAACTATATTAATACTGAATACATATTTAAATAAAGGACATGAAAACAGTAAAATTGGACATAAAACAGTGAAGCAAACAAAAGTGACGATGTTAAATTAATAATGAGGAAAACGATCAATATTGATTTATGTTATCATGCATAATCATAAAAGTTGGGAAAGTTATTCTTTATTTTTTGGATGCAATATTTGCCATGTAAAGTACTTTATCAAGCAACTTATTTATTTGTATGTCTTTTATTAATATCAATGATAAGAATTGCCACTTTATCCAGTGGACATGAACTCCATGTTCACTATCGGAAAAAATCTCACCATTGCTTTCCCCGTTCCTGTGGAGGTCTGGCAGCCAGCCAGGCAGGGAGAGGCGTACGTCATGCCATTATAGGCGCACACTGGATCCCAGTGCTTCATGGAGCAGGAACAGCCCATGTTGCACGGCGACAACAACGTGGAATAATTGTAGGATACTTGAGGATAACTGGAAAAGTGACATTTGTGAGAATGTGACTGAGTCTAAGACGTTTGATTTTGAAACGGAGCTGGGTTATGTGTCCATGTGCGAGTCACTCACCCTTGGTATGCCACCGTTAAACCAGCCACCTCTGCATTGTCGCAGTGGAAGAAACCCTGAAGGGAAAGCATACAAAAGGCCCCAAGAGATGCAGAGATGGACACTCTGGCTGCTCCAACGACACCCAGTTTGAAACGCTTCAGGACAAAACCGCCAGTGATGAAACCCAGGGCGACTGCGGGCAGGTTCATGATGCCTGGAAAGGGGATGGGCAGAGGGGTGTTAGATTGGAAAACATGGCTCAAAGTACGGTCACTGCAAAATACCAAACGAAGGAGAACAGCCATTTGAATCCTTTTCCCGTCTTTTAGTCATTTCAGACTATTTGTTTTCAGAGCACTGACCGTATTGGACGGCCACTCATACAAACAGCCATCAAATGCTAAATACAGCTTGCACAAAGGGAGATCTCACAGTGGGCCATTTAATGCCTACATGCTTGCATCCGATTTATCACACACAATAACACTTCCCTTTCACAACATCATTGTTTCGGTTAGAGCAAACTTTGAGTGGGAGGATCATGGTTGTACCTATGAGAAAATTAGCTCTGGATGCTGCCTGGCCGTAGATCTGCTCCATGAACTTTGGTTTGAAGGTGATCATGCCGACAAAGGCATTGACCGCAACCAGGTTGGTGAGGATTATCATCGTGTAGATGCTGTTCCTGAAGAGTCTTTTCAGCGAAGGAACAAAATCTGGTACGGAACAAACCATTAAGGCAAATGAGAGTCGCCAATGATTCGGGATGAAGCTGTACACCCTAATTCATCTCATGTTTCCTCTACCTGGCCAGCCTATTGAAATGCTGAGTTACCTTTAGCCATTTCCTTAAATGTGACGGCCTTCTCTTTGTCTTCACAGTCTTGGGTCCCATCTGGCAGGAAGCTCTCCTGTTCTGGCCCAGAAGATAGCTCCGTACTCTTTTTGTCGCTGTCTTCCTCCTCCCCCTGTTTCGGCAAAGACTTGGGCAGGAAAAAGAAGGGGATGCTCGCCAGCAGAATCACTGTGCCATTCACGATGAAGCCCAGCCACCAGGCTCCCACCCAGCGAGAGTCCTTGTAGGTGATGGTGATGCTGTCTGGGAGTCAAAGCCAAGAGAAATTGTTGGGTTATACAGAATGTTCCCGCTACGCTGTCTTTCCTTTGTTGTAGAAAGTTGGAAATTCCTCATTTGCAAAGCAAAAAAGTATAAATAACCTCAGAAATCTCAGGTCATTCTTTGAAATTTTCCCAGACCTTAACACCCAACATGGCTGGCACACGCATAAAATCTGGTAATTGCTACATTGTTAAACTCTTTATCTGCACTTATAGTATATTTTACAACCACAATTAGCAGAAAATATTACATAGTGTGAATTACACTTTACTGATGTAGCCTGTAGCCATTACCTTAGTCACTTAGTTAACCAATGCCACTAGTTTCGCAACTTCCACCTGCAACCCAGTCAACTTAGGTAGTTACTGACATCATTCCTTCAACATCCAACTTTTGGTCTAGATGGAGTTCAGCTAGAGTAACATTTACTCTTAGCTAGCATCTTAGCAGCTAACAGAGGAATAGCTGCTTTAGCAACAACTGTTCAAAACATGGCTTTTGAGGCAGTAGTTCTTGCTGCGTCACCACAATCCTGCAACTCTCACTTCATGACTTCGGGTTTCACTCTTACCCAATAGCCACACCATAAACATTCAGAGTCACAAAGGTTAACTATTTTTGTGAAAGTGCTGCTCAGAGAAAGAAAGTATTTTTCCCAGGCTTATTCTTATCACTTATGGTTTCACTCGCAGCACACTGTATTCAAGCTACCTGGAATAGTTGGAGTTCCAGTAGGCATGTTGCGCTGACTTACAAATACATTTCAAGAATATTTGTTTAGACAAATCTCATACCTAAATTGACAAATCCAATGTCCACGTAGGTCTTGGCCAGGTAGGAGCCCAGCATGAACCCAACCATTGGGCCTAGCATTCCCGTTGTGTAGATACAGGCTGGCACAAGAGAAGAGGAGGAGGGTGAGAAACGTGTGAAAAGAAGTCTGATTATTATTCATTTTATTTTCAGGCATGGTTCCTGCTTGGTTTATGTGATTTTAAATGTCAACGTTTTGGGCCGGATGGATCGATGTTGAGCTAATTTACTGTTAAAGATAAGTTGAGCTGAGCTTGACTTCCTGCATCGTGGCTTGAGAATCTCATGTTGAAGTTTAGACAGGAAGTAACTGCTGAATTGCTGTTTAGTCATAAGTTAATCAAGAATTTACATGCAGCTGGTGGACAACACGCTGCAAAAGTCGCTTGATTCAGGCGTGTTGGAGCCCCTGTAGACTGGGGTAGAAAACCCCTTCACTAGAACCATCTGAATTAGACAGACAAATGAAACCAAATTACATGGTTTACTCAAATGTGGATGTAATTATTTGACAGATATCGCAAACTATAACTTTATTTGTGAAAATAAACAAACTGGTTTTTAAGCTCTACCCAAAACAATATCGTTAAACTCATGACAATGACTTGACTGATAAAACATCAACTAAACATGTTTACCACAAATGAAACAAACCCAAATAGAAAGGCGTGTTCTCGTGTTTGGAAAAGTCATCCAGATAGGATATTCCCAAAGGCATGGAGGGAGTCTCTCCGATTCCACGCAGCATGTTTCCCAGGAAAACGTAGATCCACATGGAAGAGCCCACTGCCTTTTCGCAAGCTGACAGGAAGGAAACTGAGTTTAAACGTCATGCGACCAAGCAGATCGAGGATCAATCACATAATGGATGAAGGTGGACGTCCAAACAAAGTGCAAGAAACCTTGTATGGTTGCTTCGTCGGGTGTCTCGTCCTTCTCAGTCAGGTTGTGGTTGGACAAACATGGCAGGATGCTTTCAGTGCTGTTGACTTCAGTGTTGTGGGACATGCTGGTCTCATACTTATATCTAGAAATAAAATTATGATTGATGTCAGAGATTCCGGTTTTTCTATCAATTCATGTTTTAATATCTATGCTTATGCTTTGTTACTTCAGAGCGACAAATGTATAGAGAACTGCTCCTGCCAAAATTGGCAATAAGTATAAAAACACTCTTATCAAGAATGGCTTGATAAATTAGTTAAAGTGCAAGATATTGCACCATTTAAAAAAAAAAAAATAGGAGCTTATTTGTTTATGCAGAGTGACATGAATTGACATTTGTTTATATTTTTAACAACATTCATTTAGCATTATCAGTATTATTTTGGTTCCCATTTTATTTCCAATCTTATTGTTTTAGATATTAGTTTCCATTTTGTTTCCTTATTTATTCATTTATTTATTATTATTGTTGCTTTTATACTCTATATTTTTAAATACCGTTTTTTTTTTTTGTTTTTTTACATATGGTAACTATTTTGCCACTAATACCAAAAAAATCTAAAAAAAAAAAAAAAAAAAGAATACCTTGATATTTAACTCTTACCACATAAAATCCCTTTAGAATGTATTAAAGTTTGTGGTGAAACATTAGATTGAGCTTCAATGGTCAAGCTTGTGCTACAAAAGCAAGAAATTTGACATCAGTTCCACACAATCACAGGGTCTGAACACTAAATATAAAAACACACATTTTACTGGAGACCGAACAGAGAGCGCCAATTAGTGAATGTATGTACACCCACAACATTTGTTCCCGAAGTGCTTTGGATGTGTTTACTTAATGCTGCTGAATATACAGAACAGTTCCCTCACCAGGCAAAAATCCAACAAATGGAAGACTAAATGTGAAATGGTTGAAGAGTAAATGAGATTTATACTAACGGGCCCTGCAGGAAATGCGGCAGCGCAACAATGAACGATCCGGCGGCCATGACCAAGCAACCGATACCAATCAGCCTGGGACGATGGAGCTTTGCACCAAAGTAGCTCACAAAGGCGATGACCAGCAAGTTTCCTATGAAGGAAAATAAATGCAGAAAGCCATTAATCAAAGGAGTTTCTCCAAGTATTTCTGAATCCAGAACATCTTAACTTCACAAACCCATTTCAAAGCTGCCATCTATGACCCCAATCAGAGAGCTGGGGATGTCGAAGCGTCTCTCAATCTGGGTGATGGAGCTCTTCATGTAGGCGCCCCCAAAAGCTTTGGCAAAGTACATAAAGGCCAGGGAGACGAGGAACAGCTGCAGGAGCACACACATTAAGAATTAGGGTTCTGTGGGCCAGACTTGTTGATTTGACCCAATGACGTCACGTCAAAGATCTCCCAGTGATTCCTGTTGGAGTAAAAGTTTCTCCTTTCTCAGTGTTTATGTAATGAACCATTGTCACTGACGTGGCCTTGCTGTACATAAGATTAAAACAAAACATTTAGCATACATTGAAACACCTACAGGGCTTTAACTCAACTTTAAGAAACACTTCAGTTTAGATTTGATCAGTTCAAGATTGTTTAGAACATCATTTGCTCACATAAAACCAGATACATTATGAGGAAGGTATTATTCTAATCAGACATGCAGCTCATTCAAAAAAATAAAGAAAATAAATCTAATGTTATCTAACTGAATAAGTACTAGGAGAATTCCCTGCGAATTCATCTTAGAATTTCAACCGTATATGTTTTCGATGCGCCTATTTTTTTCTAAAACCCGCAACTCTTCGAAAACCTGCTGTATCAAATCTTATGTTTGTCTTGCGCCATCTGGTGGAGGATTAAACTACTACCAGTTGTGAGTTCTGCTTTTTTTGCAGCAGTCTTTAACAAAAGCAGTTTTGGAATGGTGACAGCATGCAAATGTATTAATATATATACATACATAAGAATGTAAATTTTGGTGAACATCTAGATTTTATGGTTCAAATTCCGGTAGTTTTTTTTATAGGTTTCTGCATATAATTTGTAATTTAAGTAGTAAATGTACTATATATATACTTGGCCAACTACTTTTAATTTAATTAATACATTTTCCCTTGGAAATTAACTCTTTCGTTTATATCAGATCATCATTATTCATTTCGTAATTGGTAGGTAGTATTTACCACAATAAACAGAGCAACTTGTGTTCCGTCAGCGTTAAACATAGTGCAGTATCAATCCTAAAAATCACCCCAGCTCCTCTTAATCTCAGTCAACCAACAATTGAGAAGGTCTTACATCACATCAAAATGAATTCATTTGGAAACTGTTTGTATGTGAATTGTTTTTTTTTTCTCTCTCTCCAAAATGCAAGTCCAATATCTTGTCATAAGAGCAATTTCACAAACCTTGAGCTTGGAGCAACATGCCTGGCGTGGTTTTTTGGACTCTACGCTCATGATGCTTCTGTGGGCTCAGCTTTAGCCAGATGGAAAGAAAAAAGGAGAAAACACAACACCAAAATCCCTGCAAATAAACAGCACACTTTGGAAAACAAGATCTTGGAGCAAATTCTATTGAGCTTCTTAAAAAAAACTGCTTTAAATACATTTCTAACTTTGCGATTCTGTCCATTGAGCATGCAATGACAATGCAGTATAAGATTATACAGGGACAGGCTTTTGAAAAAAGTTGTTCTCTGCAAAATTTCAAATAATATCCTAAACAAAAGATGCAAGAATTTACAAAATTAACAAAAGGACTACACATACAATAGTACTTCTGTGAAAGCATAAGAAAACATACAGTTAAAGTCTTTACCTGTGAAGCAGTGATAGACCAGTAAGTATTCAAGCTGATTGATAGCCGTAACCACCAGCAGGACTTTGCGCCTGAGGCCTGAGTCTTATCATTAAATTACATCACGTGCAACCAGTAACTCAGGCAGTCATGTTGATCTTGCTGAGCACGTCAACAAAAGTCCATCCAGCCCTCACGCGAACTGACATGCGCGTGAGGGCACAAACACAACTGCGACCGCACAGTTTGTTCAAGTCGGAGCGACAGGCGAAGAGGTTCAGAGGTTCCTCCGGCGGGTCACGGTCGCGCACATCCTCCTCTGAGGAACTTCACAAGCCATCCTCTGTCGGAAACACAACAAACAACGAGCAGCGTGAAGCTGGCCAAAGTTTATTGTGGTACGAGCGAGCTGTTTCTGTTAGTCTGGCCCGTTTCAAAGAGTGAAACGCTTTCCTTTCCAGGAGAATTTTGGGTCTCGCAAAAGCCCGGGTGTTTCCATCCGAGGCCCTGATCAAAGTCTTCCTGTACCATTGATGGCCGCGAACAATGGCTTTTTCTCGAATTCCCCAGTACGGCACATCCTATCACCTTATCACTTTTGTTTCACTGTGGGTATTCACCGGAGGCTCGTTCAGTCACAGCTCACAATAAATGGCGTGTCTGTCTCTAGAACAGATTTTAATGTAAGGATTTCCTAAAAAATCAACAGGTCTGCTGGGAGTTGGCTGTTGTTTACAACATTCTCTTCCATTAATGTTATGTAGTTTAGATGAAGAAACTGATTATGAAAACAAATAATAGGCAGAGCTTGGATGGCCTGGCGACTTGTCTAGGGTGCTAACTGCAATCCTGGTGGCCCCACTTGGAATAAGCATGTTAGATAATGGATGGATAGATGATAGACAGCATAAGTATATTTTTTTGTCTTTTCTCTGTTTGAAATTTGTAAATTGCAATTCCTCTAGGACCCTTGTCAAGAACTAATGGCCAGACATTTTCAGTCAAGGTTTTTGGCCAGAATTCTGGTTCAGTCATTTACAGCAAATGCTCAGACCTGAAGAAAAGTAGCCCTCCCTTAACGTCACACGATACAGTATTTCATTTTTTTTTTAAATATTGCATTATTTTAATTCTAGTTTTAGCAGACTGTACACCCTCTAACACTTTACCTCGCCCGTCCTTGGTGCAGTGTTGAAGTCATTTCGGTAGGCCGACCCTCCTAGGAAGGTTCATCATTGTTCCATGTAATCTCCATTTGGGGATAATGAGTCTCATTTTGGATTGCTAACATACCAACGCTCTTGAAAAGGCCTATGCCTGAATTTCTTTAGATTGAGACAATAATATGTTTGGTTTTGACATCTTTTAGCCCATATTGTGTTGGTTGGAACGTTCATCACGTTTTCCAGATGATGTCATCATGTCTAATTCTGTTCTTTAAGTCACCTTTTCCTGATTTGAAAGTTTTTTTTGACACTTTTGGGTATCGTCCAGAAAGCTAAACTTGAAGAAATTTGTGAGTGGCGAAATAGTTTTTCACAGCATGGTATCTACTGCAAACATGAAAAATGGTATTTAGTATGTCTTCAATAGATTGAATGGATCTTATTTAAACCTCATTCCTATTATTATTATTTTACAAATTCTAAGACACTTTAGTAAAGCATAAAAAGAAAAACAGTGAGTGTGGAGGATGCTGCTGCAACTGCAACATCAGTTCCCTTTTGCTAAAATGAGTCATCCGTTCTGGCTCCCAAGTGGCAACATTAATATGCTTTATCTCTTGCCCATAAAACATAATTATGACTAATGATTATTGTGTGTGTAGGGCAGTTGATTAAGCTGTGTACACAGAATGCACTTCTAGTGCGCTTGCACGTTTATTGACTTGTGTAACATGTTACACAACTTTCAAATAGAGTGAGTTTAGAAACATGGCAACTCTGGTAGAAGTGCAGAAGAACATTTCTGTCAGTGAGTTGCAGAATGCTTCACTTGGAAAACAGCAGCTGTACGGGGAAGTGGCAGGTTTGCGTTCTTTTGCTGAAATAAGTCTTTCCGTCACAGCTGCTAGAGGGTGCCACCTCACTCTTAAATCATGTTTTGTGTGGAACTGGACTCTTCCCTAACTCAAGTAGATCAACTTATCAAGCATGTTTTTTCTTGTTTTTGTTTTTTTTTACCCAAATATTCACGTCACTTGTTTAAGATGAACACAGACAATTAGTAGTGTCCACTTGAAATATTTTATCAAACAGAGCATTTTACTTGAAACACTGGAAGCACAAAAAAAATCAAATCAAATCAAACGTATGCGTTTAAAAATGGAAAATATTGGTGTAAAAAAAAAGCGGGAAAAAAAGGTTTGTATTGTAAAAAAGTTTATTATTACTGTATTTGTTACGGTCTCTCTTTTAGCATTGTGATCACGTTGAAATTTGTCCATGTTATTTTATGAAAACTAGCTGTGACTCATGCCACAGATAACCTGATCTGTGGCATCACAGATCAGGTTATCTGTGATCCAACCAAAAATGTTTTTGGTTGGATCACAACAGGAGCCAACAACTGCCATCAAATGTCTGAAATGTACATTTGTCTTCAGCATGTCTTTGCAGAATTGTATTGATTTACATTTCCATGTGTGAATAGCCACATTAAGGTTATGACGTACAATTTGAATAATATACATGTCAAGCATGTCTATTTTTTTTCTCATGTTAAATTCTTTGATTATCTGAGGAAATTTATTGAGACAAAAATAGATGGAATCTGTTTTAACCCACAACAAATATTCGCATCGCTGAACATTTAGTGGTGTCCTGAACTGTCAATGCATTCAGAGAACAACCAAAGCATTGTTTAGTCACTTAAAATATTTATCAGATTTTCAATCAATAGTCTTGCATCATGGAAATGTTATTTGTGTTGTTCTCTCCTGTAAGTTTCAGCTTTCTCGAAACTATGATGTGTGATATATATCCAGTCCGGTAGGGGGCAGCAGGTTTCTGAATTTTTACCAAGAAAGGAGAATGAAACCTGTTTACCTTCAGTCACAGCAGATTCGCTTGTTGTTCTCGTAACGAATTAAAGCTATTACTGTCGAAAAGAAATGGGGTAAAAAAAATGAAATAAAATAAATAAAAAACAGAAAGATTCAGTATAATGACTTAATGTTATTTTATTAATGTACTTATCTTTAATAATGCTTTTAATTCAGCGGCTATTTTCAGCGTGCCATATTATTGGTCGAGCTGTCTTCATCGTCTCCACACCACGTTTCCAAAACAATACCTCCTTACGTCATGCCTACGCCGCCTGGTGACGAACGCGTCCACTACACCCCTCCTCTCCAGTCTCACCTTTCCTCACCACTCCGCTCCAAGTCTCCCATCAGGACCAGGAGATGTTCCGCGGCGTCGAAAGCAACACAACGGACGAACTTTGCTCGTTTCGCACTTTCGAGTGCTTTTAAATATCCACTTTGGTTGAAACTTTAGGGAGAAAGGAGGTGGGGATTTTTTTGTCGGTCGAGTGTGTTTTTCTTTCTTTCTTTGTGTGTGTGTGCGCGCGCGTATGTGTGTGTGTGTATGGCGTTCCCCTCTCTTTAGGAAAAAAACCTAAACATCACAGATATAAGTCAGGCTCTGCCCCCGCTGCGTGTTGCGCTTCCTTATGTCGCGAAAGCAGGTCGAGCATGACTACACCCTGCGGAGCATGAGCAACCTGATGGGCGAGCGCTGGAAAAAAGTCAACGACGAAGGCGAGCGCAGCCTCATCAAAGCTCCGTCCAGCGGCAGCATCAGCAGCCAGGGCGCCGCCGCATCCTCCTCCTCCACCACCGCGGGCGCAACAGCCCCTTCCGTCGCCGCCGCCGCCGCCTCCTCCTCCACCACCAACACCGGGGACTTGGAGCGGGCTGCCCGCAAGCAGTTCCAGCAGGATGTCACTCCAGCCTTCGTCTACGTCCTGGCCGCCTTCTCCGCCCTGGGGGGCTTTCTGTTCGGATATGACACCGGGGTGATCTCCGGCGCGATGCTCCTGCTCAAGAGGGAGCTGGACCTGAGCGCCATATGGCAGGAGCTGCTCATCTCGAGCACCGTGGCCGCGGCGGCGCTGTGCGCCCTGCTGGGCGGTTTCCTGAACGGGCTCTTCGGCCGCCGGGTGTGCATCCTGCTGGCCAGCTTCTTCTTCACGGTGGGCGGGGTCGTGCTGAGCACCGCTCCCGGGAAAGAGGCGCTGCTGGCGGGGAGGCTGATCGTCGGAGTGGGCTTAGGTAAGATGCAAGAAACATGGAGAGTTTAGATGGAAAGTACCGCAAGCAGTGCAACTTTAAAGACTCATGAAGCTGTTACACTTTAGTGTTTTTTGTTTTTTTTACTCCTGGCATGTTGTAATATAGCCTACGGATTATTAGTCTACAATATCTTGCAAAAGTATTGGTGTTTTTTTTCCCCACAGCTTGCCTCAAGAAAACCACAAACTTTACTGGCTTCTAGTGGAACTTCATCTTAAAACATAGTTTAATCAAGACTGTGTCAAATCTGTGTGGTCCTATTCAGAATCAATATGAATGTAACTCAGAGTTATATCATCAACAACGAAAAATGGAGTAGTTTAATCTATTTCAAGTGTTGAAATGACTCAAATGCTTGTTGAAATCTGATGACGACCAAATAGACTTGGGACAGTGTCGACTTACAGTCTGCCAAATCATATTGTAGAAGGAAGCAACATTAACTATTTAGTATTTGAAAAGTGCGACATGTATCTGCGTTTCACCCTCTTTGCTGTGACGAAGAGGTCAGTTCCTTTCAGAATTGACCTGTCGCTGAATCCGGCCGAAAGCCTCAGAGGTTTGCATGGAGTACGTCAGTGAACGACCAGCATCACGAAGACAGAGAAACCCAGGCAGAAAGGCCACAGGGGTGACGTTAAAGTATGTGTGTAATCAGCACGTTTTGTTGATGCCTGTGGCCAAAATCTTTTCCTGTCAGTTGAAATCCAAACATGGTTACTTGACCTACATGGAAACGACATATCTGCAGAAAAACCATCACAGTCCCCATGGTGGTGGCAGCGTCATGCTGCGGGGGTGGTTTACCTTGAGCAGGTTGTAAGAATTGCCGGGAAGATGGATGGAACAGGACAATCTGAGATCTGTACCACCTTAATTGGATATCGATGCATTTTTGGATTGAATTTAAGGAAATTGTACCTAAATAGAGATGTTCATTTTTTGTTATTTTGTCTAACAAACAAAAAACATGTCAGGTTTCCACATCAAGTTAAAGGCATAATAGGGCAGCTTTAGTGACATTTAGTGGTTTAAACTGCAGAAAAACGCAAGTTGGTACATCAACTTAAAGGTGCGATAAGATCGACTTAGTGACATCTAGTGGTAAGAATTGCACATCGCACATAAGCAAAAATTCCACACCGTGGCACGTTTTTCCAGATTTTCACTTCGACCCTGTTGTTCAGTTATTATTAATTCGTTTTCATGTTTTGTAAAACATTAGGTTTTGAAATCAACGTAAAAGGCTGAGAGTTTTTGGTTTGGGTCTATTTTGTTAGTTGCACATGAGCTCAATTTGTACACTTTCACCTTACTCTTCCAGAACTGACAGAGACTGACGTGATCCGAAATGGCATAATTAGACATGTCAGTTGAAATTCCAGGTTTTAGTTTGAACATTTATATCCTGCTGTAACGGTTTTGCAATATGGCTGGTGGGGCAGGAGATTAGTTGGAAGCCTCCAGTTCATATAAGGAAATGAAATATCTTTTTGTGTGTAATTACATACTAATGGAAATCTGTAATTGGTTCATGCCAAAAAAAGAATGCCTCAAATGTTACACAACAGAACATCTGTTACATTTTTGTCTTTCCTACATCACTGTTATGACATAATGTGATGACATAACGGCTTTGATTTCTCTCGTTCTTATTAAAATCCTGATTCTGGAAAGGAGAAAGGTCCAGTTAATGGCGAGAAACAGCTGCCACTTTGTCACACCAAAACAAATGGATTGTGCAAGCTTCAAATTAGAAAGGTTGCTCTTATGAAGTAATTATTCGACATTTTCAAAATTGATTCTCTCTTCCTCTCTTATATTCCCCCTCCCATGGACACTAAGATCAGGGCAATTTACACCGAAGCTAATTAAGAGACTCCATTAAGAGTCCTCTCCAAAGTTTCCTCCATTTGCAACTCTTAAATGAATTAGTTGAGCCTGACAGGCGGCAGTCGGTTCTGGCCGACCTGGCCAGGTTGGCGTCGTGACAAACCGTGCGAGAGACAAAACGGTGTTTTGTGATTGGACTGTCGTGGACAAAATTAGAGACGTCTCCTTTCCTCCCTGGACTCTGCAGCTGTTGTGCTTCGTTGAAGGTCTGCTTCCATCGATGTTTTTACACTCACCGGTGATCAGCTAATCAGGTTTATTTGATTGGTGGTTGATTCCCAAACAAACAGTGATAGCAAGGATAGTTTTTACACACTTTATTGAAACAGATTTGAAGTCAGTCTACGCCTTAATATCTCAATAAGCAGTAACTCTGTGATAATTGATAAATTAAAATGAGTTAGATAATTTACATTTGGATAATTGTTTGTTTTTCTTGTGTCTGTTTCTACCAAAGATGATTAAAAAAAAATCTTCAGTCTGACATGTTGGCCTCAGTTTGCCATTTTTTTTATTATGGAAACCTTTTACATGTTTTTGTTTAAGTTCTTATGCTTATTTATTTTGGATATTTAAAATTTCTTCCAGTTTCAGTGTCAAATGTTTATTAGGTCTGAAAGTGTATTGATCTTTTAATAAAGAGGAGTGTGGTCTCAGCATAAGCTCACAATAAGTCAAACTTTTACTCACTTATAACAAGACACTAAATTCACTAATAACATTCACGTGTTATATAAAAATAAACAATAATAATAATACAAACTTTACTCTTCACTCTCACAAAATGGACTCCTCCGGAACCTTAAAAAGACGTCCAGGGCACGGGGGAATCTTTTTCGAGCCACACTCCTTACCAGTTGGTGGCGGTAATGCGCACCGGAAAGCTGTTTGCCAACCGCAAGAAGAAGAAAGTAACGTTTTTAGGGTTTGCGCTGCGAAAAGAAGAGACAAATGTAAGTATTTTGCGCCACAAATATTACCACCCTCCTAAAATATCGATACACTACTACTAAATGTAAATGTTTTATTAGAGCTCGTTAGCGTTACGTAATTAGCCACTGTAATAATTGTTTCGTTTACATGTCAGGTGGGAAGAAGCTACAAACAGTAACGTACAAATCCTCCATCTTGATTCCTACAGCAACTAACTGATGCAGTAAAATAGTTTAAAAAATTAATGTCACATTTGTCTAGATAAGTAATAAAAATCTTCAATAACAGAAGCATGGTTTGTATTACTACTACTATTATTATTTATTTTTCTTTTACCTTAAGCTATATGCTATTATACTTTTCAGAAAAAGTGATTTTCAATTTTCTTTTTAATATAATCTATATGCCATAAACATGAACGACGACATAAACAATGATTTCTTGTAAACCAGAGTAATTTTTGTCTCATTCAATGATTTATTTCATAGACGTATTCTCTGAATGACTGTTTGCATTGCATTGCAGTGAGTGCTGCATTATTTGATAGCGATGGAACATTTAGATTGGTGAATAAAAGTGGTCTGAGAATGGAGCCTTGAGGAACCCCACTTTTGATCTTTGTCTAGTTGTATTAACTACCAAATGATACAAATAGGTCAATCTGTGAAGTAAGATCTGAACAGCTTTGTGCTGCACTAGACAATCCTACATGATTTTTTATTTAAGCAGTCAGTATTTTCTGATCAGCTGCATTTTCAAAGACTTACACTTCGCAAAGCTGGACTGCTTTGTGTGTTTTCGTTGTCTGGTAGTCGGTACAGAGGAAAAGGAAGTCAGTTCTGCTCCAGTTGAAAGGTAAATGTTGTGGAAATGATGCTAATGGTCGAGGAATACTTATTAAATGAATGGTGCAAATGGAGCAGATACGCTTACACCGGGTCTGATTGCTGATATGTGGAGGGAACCGACCATTACAGTTGTTCCAGCCATTGTGGCTCTGTTACCGTAAGGACCCCAGCTCCCTCTTTCCAGCATCATCCAACAGAGTGAACTTCATTAAACCGAACCTACGTGAGCCGGGCCCTAATAGACAATGAGATGCATTCTGGCAGCGCAATTTACCACCGGAGACACTGATGAGACCAACATTTTTTCCATTATCCTCAGAACAAGCCTGTCACCTGTAAGGCATCCGCTTAGCATTTTTGAACTGAACTCTGTGAGAAAGGTCAGGGGAGCTGTTTGTCAAACCAAGAAAGGCCATGCTCTTTAATGCCACGATTTTCTTTTTTTTTTTTTTTTTTTTTCTCATACCTGTTCTATGTCTGCTGCTGCCTGGTTATTGCTGCGTTGACCTTTGCCCAAGAACAGGGGGGTTGTCTGAATGGGCAGTAGTGAAGCAGACGCTCAGGACGGACCAGGGGTTTATTATGCGACTTGCCTGTTTCTATTTAATTAAGTTGCAGGAAGATGTTTCAGACAGAGCTGAGGTAGCATTTCTGTTTAGCTGTATGAGGGGGAAAAAAGTGGTTAAATTAACTGCATTTTTAGTTAGTGTGGGAGTTTATTTAAGGAGATTCTGAAACTTTGTCGTAGAAAAAGGATGGAATTTGAGTTTTCAGGTCCTCAGAAGCCTGAAACAAGGATATTGAAAAATATTTCCAACTTATCTTTTACCCCTTCAAACCGAAGATACTTGTATACCATGCATACATCCTAGATTTGTGGCATAAACAATTTGTAGGGATCTTGTAGAACTGAAATAAGAAATCGAGTATTTTTTGAATAATCTTGATGCGTAAATGATTGTAAATACATATGATTTCATTCAGTATAGATAGCATGTTACATTACGTCATATGGTTGTTGTTTTTTTGTAATAACTCAGAGCCAGCCAGGTTTGACACACTTGAAAATGCCAAATGATTCGGAATATAAAATGATGAGGAGAGGGGGGAAAAAACCCGGTGTGAGGCTGATGTAACGGTAGACTCATAGTTTGGCAATAGGACAGGTTTCTGTGTGCTTTTGCAATGTGGTGTCATGCTTCCAGGGGAAAATTGATTTAAGATGTGAGCTGGCTGATGATGAACCAGTGGGTCCAACAGATGCCATGTCGAGTCAGCCCACTCTGGCTACAGGTGCTTTTCACC